CCAGGGCCAATCTTCCTCAGCAAAAAAGAGGAGGATTGGCAACAGATGTTAGCTCAGGGCTGATCTTCCTCACACACACACACAAAAAGTAGCTATTGAGGGGCTGCCCTGGTGGTGTAGTGGTTAAGTTCACGTGCTCTGCTTTGGTGGTCCAGGGTTCACAGGTTCAGATCCCAGGTGCAGACCTACACACCGCTTATCAAGCCATGGTGTGGCAGTATCCCTTATGAAGTAGAGGAAGATGGGCATGGATGTTAGCCCAGGGCCAGTCTTCCTCACCAAAAAAAAAAAAAAAAAAAGTAGCTGTTAAAATGAAACCAATAGATGTTCTCCTCTTCTTCCCTTCCTAAACTATTCAATCCAGAAGCCACTGGGTAGGGCTGAATGTGTGTGCAGGGTATGGTAAGGTGGAGCGGGAAGTCACAGTAGGTGGGAGCTGGGGAGGAGGGGGTTGTTGTGGGAACTACCTGAGGATAAGGACACAAAGCAGTTCACAGCACCTGGAACCTGGTGTGTGCTCAACACAAGGCAGTTACTATTATTGTCGTTATTATGGTTGTTATAAGGGGAATGTTGAGAGATGACGTACCAGCCATCTCTGTATCCTGCGTCACCAGATCCTCTGGGTCTCACCTCTGATTCTAACTGCATCTGAGGCTTCACTTTATGTTGACAGCTTCTTGCTTCAAGTGTACAACACATATCACTCATTTTCTGCCCTGGGGCTTTCCAGGGCCCTGGGTGAGACACCAATGGAAGCTCACTTGGAATGCCCACATGCACAGCCTGGAAGTGGGGGAGGCATCTCCTCCTTGGGCAACCCTCTGCTAATGGGGGATGGAAGCTAATGGACAAATGCCTCTCACTGTTGGTCCTCAAGTGGACGATTCTGAGAGACATTCTTTCTTTCCCCAGAACGTTCCAGTGGGATCAAGCCCCAGTTGCCAACAGCAATGCCCAACTCAACAATGCACCCTTGTACTGGCTGTTGGTCCAGCCCCTCACACCTATTCCCTCAGGTCACCTCCCAAATAAATTATTTGCACAGAAGGCCTTATCTCAGACTCTGCTTTCAGGGCTAGCCCAGGATAAGACAAAGGATCACAAGGTCGTAGAAAGCAGCCCTGGGAAATGGAATTATTCCCTGGATGGATGGCAACAAGGACCCTGTTGCCAGTGGTAAGGGGAGTGGTGATACCCCTTACATGCCATAGCTTCACCGTTACCAAGACTTTACCCTGCAGAGGTAGAAAGTGAAGCACTAGGTTATGCAATAGTGCGAGCACTTGAAAGGTATGGGGCAATGGTAATTATGTGGGTTGTGGAGTTGGTTGGCTTCTACTAACTGCTTTAGAAGCTTTGCAGGGAGAAAATGAGAGGCTATCAATTCAGGGCATTCTCTGAACCCTAGAGGCATTCTGGACTTCAAGACCTTAGAAGGTCTTAACAGGATCAGTTAGTTGCTGATACCGTCACTAATTTGCTAGCTCCTCTCCACCCCTTGTGGTGGTTCTTTTCTTCTCTGTCTCATTCTCCCTGGGCCCTCACTCCTGCTCCCTGGGATCACCTCCCATATAAACTATCTGCACCCAAGTCCTTGTCTCAGGCTCTGCTTCAAGAAGGAGCTGAGGTTAAGATAGATGAAGAAGCCAATGATGGCCAAGTTGCCAAGTTTATGACTTCAAAGACTTAAAGGTTTCTAAGGGGACCAGCCAATTAGTAGACTCAGAGTAGCCCTCATCATACCATGAATGGCTAGCCTTTTTTGAGTTATTATATTCCTGGCCCTGTTCCAAGCTCTTTACAGTCATTACCTGAGTTAATTCTCACAGCAGCTCCATGATGTAGGTTTTATTTCTCCTCAGTTTCTCTCTCTCTCTCCCCTTCCAAATGAGGAAACTGAAGCCCAGAGAGGTTAGGTAACTTATCCAGAGTTACACAGCACATGATGGAGCCCAGATTCAGCTCAGTCTGTCTGACTCCAGAGCCCCCACACTCTTAGTTTCTGTGATATACCGATTTCCTCCAAATAAAAATAATGTGGGGGAGTGGAAATTATGCTCACAAATGCTGCTTTATGGCAACACAATCTTCAAATTCATCTGGACATGTGTGTACAGTATCCCTTCCCATGGCCAGTGCTTCTCCTGTTCTTTGCTAGGATTTAACTTCCAGTTCAACCACTTACCAAGCTGTGGGCGACCTTGTAAAATTACCCCCCTCATTTGAGTCTAAGTTTCCTTACTTGTAAGGGCAAATTAATATTGGTCTTATAGGATGTTATACAGAGTTAGTGTCTAACAACTGATAGCTATAATTTTTCCAGTCAGAGGTCTATTGTTGGGGACAATTAAGATTGAGGTTCAGGCAATCCCCAGAAGAAGAGCAGAGCAGAAAAATTTTGATCAAGTTGTTTTGTTTGTCTGGAACCCTAGAGATGCCTCTTGGCTTTTATTGGCCTTTACTTATAACTCCTAGGATGAGAGATTCAAACCAGAAATCATTTTGTCCCCTGTAGTGGGCTGAATCGTGGCTCCCCAAAAAGATAAATCCATGTCCCAACTCCTGGAATCTGTGAATGTCACCTTATTTGGAAAAAGAGTCTGTGCAGATGTAATTAAAGATCTCGAGATGAGGTCATCCTAGATAATCCTGGTGTTTCCTAAATCCAATGACCAGTGTCCTTATAAGAAAAAGGCAGAGGAAGAGAAGGCCATGTGAAGACAGAGGCAGAGATTGGAGTTATGCAGCCAGAAGCCAAGAAACACCAGGAGCCACCAGAAACTGGAGAAGGCAAGGATTCTCCCCTAGAGCCTTTGGAGGGAGCAGGGCCCTGCTCACATCTTGATTTTGGATTTCTGGCCTCCACAACTATGAGAAAACAAATTTGTTTTAAGCCACCAGTTTGTGGTAATTTGTTACAACAGTCCTAGGAAACTAATCCATTCTCCCTGCTCCCCAAACTCAACTCTGGGCTGTTCCCTGCACAGAACACTGATGGGAAATGCAGCACACAATGACATGCCTTTGACATTAGCTAAATCTTGAGGGCTGAGAAAGTCCATGAAAGTCAATATAAATATTTTCGCAGCCTTCTAAAATCTGAGAGCAAATTTCAATGGCAACGGGTAATGAATGTGTACTTGCTGAGTAAGCTTGCCTTCCTCCCATGGGGTCTGCAGGCACTATTTTCTTCAGATCTATTTTCAAGGTCATCAGTTTTTATTTTAGAATATAGACTTGGTTTTTGCTTTGTGTTTTTGCTTCTCAACCTTCAGTGGGCATGGGAACGGGGAAACCCAGAAGACGATCATTGCAATGCTTCTAGGATGTGCTTATGAAGAGCACAGTGGTCTAACAATTGTTTTTTTTTTTAATTATATGGAAATGGGGAGAACGGTCCATGCCTAAAAATAGCAAAAGTATTTAAAAACTGTCACCAGTCAGGATCCCAACAGACAAAACTGTTGTCTGATGACAGGATTGGATGTACCTGAATGAGCCAAGGGAATACTGTTTAAACATGAAACAGTCATTCGCTTTAGAGAACCAGATGAAACATTTTTAAGTGTCAATCAAGTTTGCTTTTTCTTCATGTAAATCAGCTTCATAAAAAGCATCTTACCCTGAGATGTAGTTTGTATTTTTAAATTTCAGAAGTTGAGTTCAGAATAGACATATCCAGTTTTACAATCATTACAGGCTTCTGAAATATAAAAGAGAAAATAATGCAGCAAATTTAGGATATATATCCACACAGGCTATTTAAGAAATCCAATTTTAGTAGCTGGGTGGACTGACAGAACCAAGTATGAACTGTTTTTTCCTGGACTACATTAAATAATTTATTATTATTATTATTATTTTTTTAAAGATTTTATTTATTCATGTTTTTCCCCCCAAAGCCCCAGTAGATAGTTGTATGTCGTAGGTTCACATCCTTCTAGTTGCTGTACGTGGGACTCGGCCTCGCGTTGGACGGAGAAGTGGTGCCTTGGGGCACGCCCGGGACCCGAACCCGGGCTGCCAGCATCAGAGCGCACGCACTTAACCGCTAAGCCACGGAGCCGGCCCTAAATAATTTATTATTGAAAACGTTTTAGAAGTGCACCTGCATCCTCCACTCTGGAATTTTTATATGATACTCTCCCCCCACATCCTTCCCTCCTCCCCACCCACCCATCTCCTGATGAGATTAGATTTGTTAGGATCTGTGGTATCGGTCACTCTTGGTTTCCTGGGGTGTGCATGTTGCCCTTATCGATCCCATCCTTGGGATCCTAAAACCCAGGAGTATGGTGGCTTCACAGGGACCACTGTCTCATTTCGATAGCATCTCTTATCCCAAGCTGTGGCTCACCTTGATCTCTTGGCGCCACCTCCTGGAACACGGGGGTCGCATAATGTATCTCCTGGGAGTGTCGAGTCCCTGGGTAAAAGACAAAGAGCAGAGATATTGGGCCTATAATTCAAATCTCTGATCACTTGAGGGCAGTGGCTTAGCCAGCTGCCCTTGCAATGACGTGTAGCCTCTGAGCTTTGCAGAGAGCGCTTACCATCTTGGGCTGTGGAAACACACTGCCTCGGTTCCAAGCCTGGCACAGATGCCTCATCTGTAAAATGGGAACAATGTAAATTGGAAGTTAGTGGTGTTTGCATCAGACAGGGCAGGCAAATTGCTTAGCACCGTGCCTGGAATATGGCCAGCCCTCAGTCAATGTTGACTTGGATTTTTCTCATTGTTGGCCAAGGGCTTGGGTCTATTTACCCTCAAGCAGTGTATGATGCCTGCTTTAAGAGGTAGTCATAAAAGAGATTGGAACACAGTGCCGATCATTCTGAACTAATAGAAAAAATCTCCAAGATATTGTTAAGTGAAAAAATCAAGGTGTAGAATGGCATATCTATGACGTGCTACCAATGCTACTGTTTGTTTAGATGCTAACAGACACATAGAATATCTATGGAAGGATTTCAGAAACTGGTTGTTGCCCCCTGGAAAGTAGGACTGGGTGTCAGGGGTGGGAGGGAGACATTGTTCTCTATTCCTTTTCTTCAATTTTTTAACCATGTGTCTGTATGAGCTTAAAAAAACAAAAAAGACAAAAACCTAAAATCAACCAAAATACTCAACAAAGTTCTCTTACCTGCTTGATTTTGACAGATATTTGCATATATTCCAACTTCCTTGGGTGTATATCCATAGTCTCTGGGTGCATTATCTCTCATAGCTTTTCCTACATAAATTGGTGCAGAATCATTAAATTAAACGAATTCAGCCACATTTTTCTCATCTCCTCTGCCAAGGAGCAGAATTCCCCAAAGTTCTGAAAGAAAGAATGCTGCTCCAACCACCTAAACTGTTGTCTATCGAAGGAAAACCACGGACTCAGCAAGGAGTCCATTGCTCCTGCTTCTCCAAGCCAGGAACCCTTCTCATTTATCTTCCCAGCTCTGCAAGTAGCATCCTTTGATTATCAGATTACGTTTGAGATGGCCAGAGACACATTTTCTTTCCTTTGCTGAGAAGAACAGTCTGTAAAAAGCTTTGTAATATCTGTAAGAGATAGTAAATTACCCAGCTGAGTTCTATTTAGCCCTGGCGAGTAATCAAGAATATTAATTCCACTTTTGCAAGACCTTGGGTTTTTCTGTAGGAAGGGGAGACAGGTTTTAAAAATGTATGAGATGTACTAATTTTGACATCTATTTTCAAGTTTTGTGTCAACTGAGTCCCTGACTTCTCTGAGTTATGACTCTCTAGACATGGAGGGAGGCACAGGAGCCCAACATTGATCACTTAGTTCTCTCCCCAGTTCTGATACACTATCTCCTTTGGGTCCATTCTACAGGTCAGAACACTGAGGCTCACGCAGGCAAAGGAGCCCACTCAGAGCCCCTCAGCTCGCTGGTGGGTGCTGATGCTGTGACACTAACTGTCTGTTGTGCAGATCTCGATATTCCTCCATTCTTGTGTGCCAAATGAAAAGGCCACTTTGAAATCGTAACTGGAGGGAGTCATAAGACGTGTAGAGTGAAAAGCAGTTACTGGGGCCTGATGCAGCACTTCAGGTGGAGCAGAGAGGAAGGATGCTCTGTTTGTCTTCGTGTGCTGAGCTTCCTCCCAGTGGCAGACCCAGTGAGGATGCTGAAAAATACAAAGCAAAGCTTTTGCCTTTGAGGAGCTGGCAATCAGGACCACCTACATCATTTGCAGGGCATACTGCAAGGTGAAAATAAGGGCCTCTTGTTAAGATATTATTAAGATTTGTACACCCATGTTCAAAGCAGCATTATCCACAATAGCCAAAAGGTGGAAGCAACCCAAGTGTCCATCGATGGATGAATGGATAAACAAAGTGTATATCTATATCTATATCTATCTATAATGGAATATTCTTCATCTTTAAAAATGAAGATAGACTGACACATGTACAACATGGGTGAACCTTGAGGACATTATGCTAAGTGAAATAAAACAGACACAAAAGGACAAATACTGTGTATGATTCCAATTATATGAGGCCCCTAGAGTAGTCAAATTCATGGAGACAGAAAGTAGAATGGTAGTGGCCGGGAGCTGGGGGAGGGGGAATGGGGAGTTATTGTTTAATGGGGACAGAGTTTCAGTTTTACATGATGAAGAGTTCTGTGGATGGATGGTAATGATGGCTGCACAACAATGTGAGTGTACTTAATGCCACTGAACTGTATAGTTAACAGTGGTTAAGATGGTAAATTTTATTGTTATATATATTTTACCACAATTAAAAAAACAATTTAAAAAAGAGTAAAAAAAAAGTACTAAGAATTTCAAGAAAGTGACTGCACAGTGTAACGGGGCCCTGTGTGACTGCACAGGCCACACACCCATGAGCAATCTAAATAAGAAAGTCTTGTGGCCAGCCCGGTGGCGTAGTGGTTAAGTGCACGCGCTCCGCTGCTGGCGGCCCGGGGTTCTCAGGTTTGTATCCTGGGTGCGCACTGATGCACCGCTTGTCAAGCCATGCGGTGGCAGGGTCCCATATAAAGTAGAGGAAGATGGGCACAAATGTTAGCCCAGGGCCAATCTTCCTCAGCAAAAAGAGGGAGAATTGGCAATGGATGTTAGCTCAGGGCTAGTCTTCCTCACCAAAAAAAAAAAATAAGAAAGGCTTTTACCAGAGAAACGAGCACCAGCCTATGCGTGAACTGTGCAGGAAGTTGATTTCATTACCTTTCCCTTTCGCTTCTTTTCCTTCTCGTTTCATTTTCTTCACATCCCATTTCTGATTCCCCTTTCCCTTCCTCCTCACCCTTTCCCTGCTGTCCATATCCAAAACCCATGGAAAACAGTAGAAAAGCTCCTAAAGAACTTACTTGTTTTGTACTTTGGTAGTATCCAAAATGCCAGAATTAGGATTATTACTATTAGCAGCAGTAATAACCCCGGAAGCAGTAGCTGCAGGCAGAAAGGACAGCCATCTGCGCCTGGAAGAAGACGGCATTCGCTGGTCACCGCACAGCGTTCTTTTCCTATGACACTGAACTGTGAAATGTTCTGGAAAGAGCGATCACACTGTCTCCCAAGGTAACCAGTTACTATACACCTGGGCCCCGTATGTGATGGACACCTGAAACTCTTGTTAGTCAGTGACCAAGTTAAGTCATGACCAAGTATATCTTCCGGAAGGGGTCATATGAGGGAGAGAAAAGCAGCATTTAACAGACTGACTACTGGCCACACTGTGAGGGTCATAAGCCTCAGTGCGGCCTGGCTGTTTACTGGGCAAAGCCTTTAGTCACATTGGCATGATTTATGTCACCCAAACAGCTACTGTTTATTGAGTATTAACTACATGCCAGACACTGCGTTGAGCACTTTACATGTGTTGCCTTATTTATCTCATTGGTATCACTCCCAATTTACAATGAGTAGAATAAGGCTCAAGAGAGGTTAAGTGACTTTCCTAAGGTCACACAGCTTGGAAATGCTGTGATTTGTAGGCAAAAGCCTGACTCTGGGGCCTGACTCTGATAGCTGCCTCACTTGCTAGAACTTAGTGAACACCAGGGTGTGTGTGGGCTCTGTTCTTCTGAGGATGAAGCCGGGTGAAGTATTCAATGACCAAGCATGCCTATTGCATTTGCTAACCTTGTTTTTGTTCTAACCTTCTCCTCTCTTGACCACTGTCCCTTCAAAAGGACCCGGCAGGCCAGGTTTGAATCTAGAATTCTCAGACTCCTCTGTGTTCTGCGCTGGAACATGACAGCACGGGGAGAGCCAGCCCCAGCCCCGGCCTGGCCCACTTCTCTCCCACCCAGGCTCTGACCTGCACCCTAAGGGGCCTCGCATGCACGTGGACCCCCAGCCTGCATGTCCAAATGCCATCCACACCCCCAACAAACAGGTGCCTTGACTCGGGTCCAGGCAGGACGTGAGCACATCCTCACTGTGGTCCACCCTTGGGAGGATGAGCTGGGAAAGAGACTTGTGCAGGCCCTGGAAGATGGGTGCTAATCTGACTGGGTAGGGAATTTTGGTTCGGGTACCCAGAGTGTGATGTGGAAAAGTGGAGATATAGGGTCCAGGTGGGCACATTCCCATGGCCCCCTGGACTCCTCAGCCTGTGGGAAGGTGCGTGGCCAACAAGCACCAGAGCAGCAGCCCCAAACAGGACTGGGACAGGGGCCCTTCTCGCCCAAGCTAAGGGTGGTGCTGAAGTCTAGACTCACCAAGCCTTAGCAGTGGGGCAGTGAGCAGCCAAGCAGGTGGATATAGGTGTTATAAGTCAATAAAAAATGATGAAAAAGCAAAAGAAAGTCAAGAGACCGGCAGGTCCAAGAGAGACGCAAATTCTGATGTGATTGCTTAGAACCTGGGCGGTGGAAGGTAAGGACAGGAAGCAGAGTCAAGTCAGGAAGTCTCACGACAAGGTCCCTTCCTGCCCCAGCTTCTAGGTTTTTCTATGGTTCCTTTATGGCGGAAAGCAACCTCATCAGAGTCTGTGTGGACCCTACCAAAGGAAAGGCATTTGGAAGCAGGTGGCCAAAGTGGGAAGAGGGCGGGCAGAGGAGTAGCTGCAGTTTCTGGAAGCAAATCCAGATCCTGTTGAAAGAGCTCAGGTAGCCCTTACCTGTTGAGGGCCTGGTGAAGGGTCGACTGTATTCTGCATGGTCAGGCAATCTGTTTTTAGCTTCACACCTATACTCTTCCCCTTCTCCAGTGTTCCTCTTGGTTAAGTTAAATTCAGCAGGCTCCCTGACATTCTTGGAAATAGTGGGTGATATGGCGATGTCTTTTTCAAAGAAAGTATAATTGATGGGCAGAGAGCCATTAAATGAGATGCAGCGTAGTGTTATATATTGGTCTGTTTCTGTTTGAATGGCACTAATGTTCAGCACTGGTGTAGTCACTGGTTCTAGAAAAATAAAGGTGCATGTTAAAGGGATAAGCAGATTGGGTTCACTCACTCAGTCCACAAACATGGATTGAGCCCCTACTCTATTCCTGGTTGTGGACCCAAAGATGAATGACACCCTTCTTGAGAAGCCGTGTAGCATGAGCTCGGTCCTGAGAAAGTCAGAAGGTGGAGAGTGTCTCTCTGCTTTAAGGAGTCAAAGTGCAAACTTGCCATCATCAGAATTCACAATTTGGCGCTGGCCCCGTGGCTTAGTGGTTAAGTGCACGTGCTCCGCTACTGGCCGCCCGGGTTCGGATCCCGGGCGTGCACCGATGCATCGCTTTTCTGGCCATGCTGAGGCCGCGTCCCACATACAGCAACTAGAAGGATGTGCAGCTATGACCTACAACTATCTACTGGGGCTTTGGGGGGAAAATAAATAAATAAATCTTTAAAAAAAAGAAAAAAATTCACAATTTGTTTATTGTTGATAATGAGCATAATGTTATCAAAGATTCAGTTCCAAGT